GATGACATTAATGCCCATAACTTTGGTATGCTGATGGCATTAATGCCCATAACTTTGGTATGCTGATGGCATTAATGCCCGTAACTTTGGTATGCTGATGGCATTAATGCCCTCACGTTTGGCATTAGTGCCCTTTATTTCAGCCAGTCCACTAATGCCAAATGGCAGTACCCTGAAAAAAATGAAATTCGAGGCCTAAAACCTGTTCTACAATCAATCACCACGCAGGATATCACTGATATATATTAAATGAGGGTGCAATCCTTTGTGCCAACAAAGCAACTTCTGCTCAGTCCTGGTAAAACAGAAATGACAATTACAGAGTGCATTCGGATTTACGTGGACACTGAGATTTTAAGTGATCATTTAATGGTAAATTGTATGACCTGTAACAGAAAACCCTGCAAAAGCGACTGGTCCCCTTGAATGTTCCTCAAATCTTTGATGCTTAGGTGTGATTTTGTCATGCTTTGTTGGTAGTATGTAACCAGCAAGAAATACATCTTTAACTGAAATGAGTTTATTTTAATGTTTTGTCATTTCCTCTGGTTTTCTTTTTGTGCATGTGTGTCCAATCACTTATGCCCTTAAACTTCAATCACCATATAACTTATCTTTTAGCTGAGAATTGGCCGGAAAAATAAGCATGAATAACATATCAAATATGAAGGTTCTAGAATTCACATGTATTTCAAGAGATATCTCCTGCAATACAACATGTGTCTAGATAACAACAAGTCTCATTTATAAAACCTTCACCTACCTTCATCTGGCAGACAGACTACGCCCGCATCTTCATCATGGCCACAGTTCTCAACTTCCCATCCTGGATTGGGGCAATCTACAAGTCTGCTTTCTGTGCCAGCACAGGCAACATCATCCAGGAAGGTAGGTTCCTCACCTTGAGAGGCATAACAAAAGTGAACGTTCTTCTACTGTTAAACAGTCTAATATAATTATAGTTAATTTCTATTCATGATTAATGATTTCTCAAATGATTCCTTGGTTTGACAAAGCAAATCAATGAATATCATCCCGTATCAAAAAAGAAAAAAATCAACCTGAGCATGGCCATATAGCAGCAACAAAGGCCATGTTTTTCATTTTAACCTCTGAGCACCCTACCTTCACCAAACTGAGCACTGCTTGCTGCTCTTGCAGCCCCGTTAGTGAAGCCCAGCTGTCTACACACCACATTGGCATCATCAATGTCCCACTCGTCATCACAGACAGTCCCCCAGATTCCGTTGTGTTTCACCTCAACTCGCCCCAGGTTGGGTTCTGGCCCAACCAGTCGAATGTCTCCTTCAGAGCTCACATCTGTCTCATCTGATGAATATGTTAATCATAAACGGAAGACAATTTAAGAACAGGTAGTGTATGCATTCCAAGGCCATGTTCAGACAGTATTTCAGCTAAAACTCAAATGATCTTGACAAATGTTTGTCACATGTCTTGTTTACAAGCTCTACAATTTTTGGAAAGAACATTGCCTTTTCCCCTGCTCTTGTAAACATATTTTGCAACTGAAAGCCTTCGGTTAACAATGTATAGTATTTTCTTTGTTGTTGTAAAGTAAAGGAGGTCCACAATGTATATACAAACTAATTAGGCATTGGTTGTAACAGTTCACTGGTTAGGATGAATGTAATTATGCATATTTCTGTGAGGAAACATTTAATTGAATACAAAAACGGACACAAAAAATTGGTTACTACAAAGATGTTTTGACAACAGTGCATGGAAAAGCATTGTTTTTGACCCTTTTTTTGCAACTACAAAGCAAATTTATGCTTTCAGTCATGAAGGCCTATTTTATTGGTACACAGTTGTCTTTTTTCTCTATGACGCCAATGCCAGAGTGCAGTGTCAGCAGCCACAATGTGGAACAATGGCACCTGCAAAGTGCAATTACACTGTGCCTCAGTGTGCTCTACACGTACATAATAAGTGCACTTTACAATGAGTCTCTAATGACTTTCATTGACAAACCCAATTCATTAATGCAAGAAAACTGTACACAAATCCAAACAAAATTGGGGTTTTACTTATTAGAGAAGATCCGATTAAAAATTTAATTGTTGAATAAGCTCTCTCTAGTGTACCACCAAAGTCACCTTACACGGCTCCATTTTTGCCTGAAGATTTTTGTGGATTCATCACCCAGTTTATGTGATTTCTGCATTGATGGGCTTTAATTTCAGTTGTTTAACATTTCAAATTTATTAACAAGAAATGTATATTTTCAGTACAACATAGTTTGCATTGGCTGAAATTTTTTGGGGTCCATGTTCATCTTAAGTGAATATTTTCCTCAAACATAGAATCATGCAAAGTTCAACTGGGACAGATGACTTATGATAGCTCTGATTGAAATCTCATCTAAACAGAGTTTGTACAAACAAGGTTGACTGAATATGCCCACATACATGGACAATCTGATAGCTCAGTTGCATATGAACACCGTATCCACAGTGCTCAGTCAGATTTGTTTCCTGTTGTGGACAGTATAGATTACACAACTCAGAGCTACACTGCTCCAGCCAGTTCAAATGCACCCTCACCAGCAAAGACCAGAGACAGGCTGGTGGGAAGTATTTCAACCACTGATCAATCACATGGCATATATTCAAAGACTTTACTTCCAAACTGAAATTTGTCACATCTGCTCAGTACTTCCTGTACTATGTAATGCACATAAACGTGTCCACCCATGTTGTTGCTATGATAAAACACAAGTCATTCTTGCTTGAAGCAGATACACCAGGGCAACTTCATAAAATTTCACTGTCACGTACCAAAGCAAACTACTCCTGCATCTTCATCATGCCCACAGTTATCCACGCTCCAACCTCTGTTTGGGCAGTCTTCCAGTCTAGATTCATTTCCTGTACATTCCACATCATCAAGCAGAATCTGTCCTGCGCCTGCCCCAAACCCAGCTCCAGTAACAGCCCGTGTGGCACCTGCAAACCCTAGCTGCTTGCAGACAACGTTAGCATCGCTAATATCCCACTCGTCATCACAGACAGTGCCCCATTCGCCTTGGTAGTAGACCTCCACCCGTCCTTCGTTGTCATTCTCGCTGCCAGCAAGGCGTACTGTCACCTCAGGCTCTGAAAATGCAAGCAAAAGTTGTTCCGGTGATATTTTTAAATAAGGCACATCTGTTCAAAAATTGCATATCAAAAAAAAGAACACGTATAAAGTATTACATGTATAAAGTATACATGTAAGTTTGTTGTTCAATATTAGAAGCTAAACATGCACCACACACAAAATCCAGCCTGGACCTAAATAATGCCTTAAAGAAACTCTGTAATACACAATATTGCCACCAAAAAAGTGACTCGTAATACAAGACAGCAACTGTTTATCAGCTCTTCACCATTTACAGTTGGCACCATGCAAACATAGAAGTCTTGTGGAAACCCCTAAGATTTCATTTCATGTGCATCCAAACACACTGTGAAGAAGCCTCAAAGTCCCTTTGCAAAGGGAGTTAGTGTACTGTGAATTGTTTCTATGTTTTCCAAGTGCTGTATATGCTTACCATAATCAAAGAATGAACATAGGACTCGATAAAGCAAAAAATATCAACTTGAGACTCTGCCTGCTTTGATAAAGATGCTTACAGATATTTTTCCCACCTGCTCCAATTCTAGTAAAGAAACGTTTGAGTCACACTTCTCTGCACAAACAAAACTGTCCCTCTATTTTCACTGATTAATGGCACCGTTGAAATTGCTCCACTCACCTTCGTTAGGCAGGCAGACAACGCCAGCATCTTCAGCATGGTTACAGTCACTGGTTCCCCACCCTGCATTGGAGCAATTCACAAGTCTGCTCTCTGTGCCAGTACATGCAACTTCATCCAGGTAGATCGGATCCAGACCTTTGAGAGAAAGGCACGAATGTGTACCTTAAATAAATCCTTCATAATATCAATATTATTTTTGTTTAAATTATCTCTCAAGTTATTCATTATTTTGATTGAGCAGATAGTTCTGTAATGTAAATGAGCAGTCGAAATGGTATCCTGAAGCTTCTTGACAGGGCTTGGAATAATAAGAAATAGTTGTCAAATGTGGGGGAATTTCTCAGCTCAAAGATTTCAAGAGACAGATGGTGGAATACCTAATTAGGCAGAACTACGGCAAATGTCAGACAAAATGAGATGGTACGTGTCAGAGACAATAAATAAAATCAAAGAACTATGTGTTGGTTTATTCAGATAAAAGAAAAGGCAATCACTCACGAGCAAACAGTCACATAAAATGGCCATGTAACATACATGCAGAGCTAGTCAACAGTGCTCGTTTCTACCATGGAGGCCAGCACAGAATTGCCTCAAAGTAAAACATATGGCTTTTTAAGCACGCAGACAAATTGCCAAAAATAGACAACTCAGATATAGGGTCAGACAGTGGCGACATGTGAGCTTAGACTGCCACCATTATCCTTACAATACCTTAAAAATAGTTTCATGTCTGATCTGAGGCCGTGTCAGAAACGGGCTTCCAGAGCTACTGCTAGGTCTATTGTCTACGCATCTCCACACATTTCCAATGGAGCGAAGACCTAGACGTAGCTCTAGACAAGAGATTTGGATGTAGCCTCAGTATGTTTTACTGCACGTCTGTGGCACAGACCCCACTTTTTGTGGCCAATCACTTATGACAGGACACACACTGAACCTAACACACAAGACGTTCATCTTCTTCTATCCAAGCCATAAGCAATACCACCTGTAGCTGATTTTACAAAAAAAGGCTTAACTTATACCACATTACAGCATTTGCACCTTCGTTTGGCGGTTGCAAGTTTTACGAGGCTTCGGACGATGTTAACCTTGACAAGGATGGTCACTATTGCGACGATGTCTTTCTTTCTGTTTTTTTCTTAATTGGAAACTGGCTGTAATTTGGACGTCATTTCACAAACAGGACAAGATTTCCATTCCAATTTGGAACATGGCTGATCAATTTTTCAGTTTGTTAACCATAGTATGGGGAGTGACAATGGGTTTTACAACAATCACGATGAAATACTAACTTACAAAATAGCGGTAGGTATAAAGCACCCCAACTTGTTTTGTAATGCCTGCAGTGAAACAAATAAAAAAAGGAATAGAACAAGACATTAACACACCTTGACCGAACTCTGCAAGCACTGCCGCTCTTGCAGCCCCGTTAGTGAAGCCCAGCTGTCTGCACACCACATTGGCATCCTCAATATCCCATCTGTCATCGCAGATGGTCCCCCAGACGTCATTATGGAACACCTCGACTCGCCCCTGGTGGGGAACAGAACCAACCAGTCGAACATCTCCTTCACTTCCCTCATCACTAATATCTAATAACGAGTTGAAAAAGTAGACACAAAAAAGTATGAAAGGCAATGTTTGTATTAAAGAGGATGTTTTGTGTGAAAATGAGGTTATGTGGGTTACGTCAATCAACTATCAAAAGGTAACACTTTCCGGCAAACTATAGCAAGACATAAACCCTAGCCCCAATCAAATGGGATAACTGATCAGTTTTGTGCTTGGTGAAATTAGTGTCTAGCTAACTTGACTGACACAAAGCCGCACTGCGAACTTTTCAAACCCAGCTAAAAGGTACTTGCACTTTGGACAAAAGTTGTTAACCACAGTTTCTGCAAATCCTGGGAACCGGGCCTATTCATTACACATGGATCCAAATCACGATCAGTGATCCACAGTTGGTTCAACAACACCGGAACCCACCTAATGGATACAGTAAACCAGCTTTAGGATCACTGATCTTGATTCAGATCCATGGGAAAACAAACAGGCCACAAATGAGCAGCAACCACAAGAAAGCATCCTTCTTCTTGACTTAAGTATTAACCATAAACTTCAGAAATTGCCCTAACTGGAAAAGCCACTTTGTACGCCATGCTTGGGCTCTTCTCTTGATCTCGATATCAAACAGTGGTCTCAGCTGATACAATTCTTTATCACTCTTTAGAGCCGAGTACATGCACCTCTTTCAAATTCTTCAATAGAGTTTGGTCAGGACCAGCTTGTTGTTTTGCACGCTCACTTTTACTGTAACATTTTACTTTGTGGTTCATATAAGATGCAATTTCAATGGAGTACTGCGATGCACTCTATTCTCTAAACTCAAAATTGAACTGCTTTCCTTCACTTATATTACATACCAGTGCACGTCACTCCTGCATCTTCACCATGCCCACAGTTTTCCTCTCTCCAACCTCTGTTTGGACAGTCTTCCAGTCTAGACTCCTCGCCTGTGCACTCCACATCATCCAGCAGGATGGGTCCTAGACCTTCCCCAAACCGGGCTCCAGAATGAGCTTCTGTGGCCCGTGTGAATCCCAGCTGCTTGCAGACGACATTGGCGTCAAAGAGATCCCATTCATCATCACAGACAGTGCCCCATTCATCTTGGTAGTAGACCTCCACTCGACCTTCCTTCTCATTGGGACCCCCAACAAGCTGCACTGTCACCTCAGGCTCTGAGAATGCAAACCCAGACTGAGTAATATGTTTCTGCAGCAGCTACTCAATATCTGAGCAGCGTCCAGACATGACCTGAAGTAGTTTGGGTACAGGCCCTCATTGTTCCAGATTGGAATGGAATGAATCACTGAGTATGTCTTCATCACCTGTGTGTAGAGGCTCCTATTTTGAAGTAGACTGCCATAGCTAGCAAAGCCAACAAAAGCTAGTTATCTGTCGGTGTATCTATTCCTGTATGAATTCCCTTTTAAAAGTGCCCAGTTTAATTTTTATTACTAAATCAAAGATGAATGTCTTGCTCTTGTTGTGAGTTCAACTAAAAAAACCAAATGCCGATGGTGTTATTCAACCTCGTACTTGTCCCGGCTGGTATTACTTTTTGGCCCAAAATACCGATTTTGAAAACTACAAGATACCATGACCACAGACCTTTACAAATTTTTACTGTAACGATGCTGACCCTTGGTGGCCATTTGTTCAAGATTTGTGTGACGTCTTCCTGCTTTGCTGTTCGGGTTTTTTCAACACTACAAGACTAAATTGCGTTTTGTTATTTGCTACAATTCCCAGCCATAGTCCATGGCTGCTTATGTGCAACGCACATGCTTAACCTCCTAGGAGTATTTCTGTGTGT